ACCCAGAGACTCCTTGAGCTTCTCAGAGGAGTGCGAGAGATCAATCATGTCGCCTCTCAGGTACCGGTCGTAGGCGGCGAGGTCGAAGTGGCCGTGGCCGCACATGGCAATGAGGATGACCTTCTCCTCCCCGGTCCTCTTGCACTCCAGCGCTTCCCTGATCGCCGCCGCGATGGCGTGCGTCGGCTCCGGCGCCGGGATGATGCCCTCCGTCCGCGCAAATTGCAATGCAGCTGCAGATAATTCATCAACGAAGGCAAGGAATGTTTGAGTTCAGATAGACGAGAATTCAACAGCAAAATTCAGAGATGCTGTTTCATCCCATATCGTTAAGGAGCAGTACCTTCGAAGCACTCAGTTTGCTGTATGGACATGGCCTCCATGAACCCGAGCTCATACACATGGGAGATCAGAGGCGCCATTCCATGGTAGCGAAGCCCACCTGCACAAATGGCTTTGCATCAGTAAACAGAGCAGGAAGCCAATTAATGGATGACAGACGAGGAGCGCTCGGGAGTTGCAGTGATCAACACCTGCATGGATGGGATCCGGGACGAAGTCGTGGCCGAGGGTGTGCATCTTCATGAGCGGCGTCAGCCCGGCCGTGTCGCCGTAGTCGTAGGCGTAGACGCCCTTGGTGAGCGTGGGGCACGCCGCGGGCTCCACGGCCTTGAACTGCGGGTTCATCCTGCCGGCCAGCTTCTCGCGCATGAAGGGGAAGGCGAGCCCGCCGAAGTTGGAGCCGCCGCCGGTGCAGCCGATGACGACGTCCGGGGTGTCGCCGATGGCCGCCAGCTGCTCCAGGCACTCCTCGCCGATGACGGTCTGGTGCAGCAGGACGTGGTTGAGCACGCTGCCGAGGCAGTACTTGGTGTCCGCGTTGGTGGCCGCGACCTCCACCGCCTCGGAGATGGCCATTCCGAGGCTCCCCGGGCTGCTCGGGTCCGCTGCCAGGAGCTTCCTGCCGGCCTCCGTCACGTCGGACGGCGACGGGTGCACCTTGGCGCCCCACGTCTCCATCATCAGCCTCCGGTACGGCTTCTGGTCGTAGGACGCGCGCACCTGCCACACCTCGCAGTTGAGGCCGAAGAGGGTGCTGGCGAAGGAGAGCGCGCTGCCCCACTGGCCGGCGCCGGTCTCGGTGACCACGTTCTTGACCCCCGCCGCCGCGTTGTACCACGCCTGGGGCACGGCGGTGTTGCCCTTGTGCGACCCCGCCGGGCTAGTGCCTTCGTACTTGTAGTAGATCTTCGCCGGCGTGCCGAGCAGCTTCTCCAGCCTCTTGGCCCTGCCATATCACCGCCGCAAACACCTTACTCCACGCTCCCCTTAATCGCGACAGCACCAGCATCCAGAACGAAAAGCACAGGTTCTTTTCTTTACCTGATCAGCGGCGTCGGGCGCCAGAGCTCGTACACGTCGCGGACCTCGTCGGGTATGTCGATGAAGCGCTCCTCCGTGAGCTCCTGCCTGATGAGCTCGTCGGGGAAGAGAGGGGCCAGGTCGCTGGGGTTCAGCGGCTGGTGCGTCCCCGGGTGCAGCATCGGCGGCGGCTTCACCGGCAGGTCGGCGATGAGGTTGTACCATTGCTTCGGGACGCCCACGTTGCCTGGATACGAGCCGGCCCTGGCGGCGAAGCTCCTACGCCCAGTGACAGCAACTCTGTGCTTTGGTAGGCGATGAAGCGAGGAGGCTTGCTCTGGGACTGCTGCAACGTAGCGTAGGTACAATTGTCTGTCAGGCATCAGTTGAATGCTTGACGTTTGCAGCGCCAGAATTCAGAAATCAGAAATGAAATCATTAACGAGTGTAACTGCCGATTTGTGACCACAGATTAGATCGCTAAATTTCAGACTGAACGATAGCGATAATGCTGTCGATCTAAAAAAAAATACCGATAATGCTGCCTGGAATGGAATGGATTATTGGTAGGTACCAACGACACAAGCGTGCCCGTCTACACTGTTCTGCTCTGCATTTATCCAACTTGGACCAACGTGATGCTGACTTGACACCTAACCAAGCGTACATGGGAAAGATCTGACGTCCTTTTCTTGAACAAAGATCCCCGCCTGATATCCACCTTACACACATTGCAATCTTGCAGAATAGATTTTTTTTAACTGTATTTTGATATTAATCATCACCTATGCTACTTCAGTTCATCTCTTATCTGAAACTGCATAGCTCCTGGCACTGGCCCCTCTTGTTTTCCTTTTCAGTTTACGTTTCAAGTTTATGTAAGACTTGAAACCAATGTGATATTATTATCACCTATGCTCCGCCTATGCGGTTTCTTTAATGAAAACCGACGAGGAGGCCAGTTGTTTCAGAGAAAAAAATTGAAACTGTATATCCACTAACAACTACTCCAAAGAAACAAGAAAGCCTTGAGGATTCAGGAGCTGTTCGATTGGCTTGGGAGCTGGGACTGGACAAGAATAAAGTGAGTGAATAACAGCACGACTAGGAGAAGAAAAATCCTTGAAATCAAAAGTCCGCATAAACCGAATCAAACCTACGGGATTGAAATGGTTTTGAGCGGGGAGAAGAAGGGAGCAGGATCGCGAGGGTTCATGCGCGGGCGCACGCACCTGGGAGCCGGGGAGGGCGGAGGGCGGTGGCCATTTCTTGTCGTCACGATGGAGCCGCCGCCGCGCCGCCTGCTTTGCCGTTCCTGGCTTCCTGGATCGCGCCCCGAAAGCTGCTCTGCTCAGTGGGTAGTCAACCACCCGGGCTGTGAGTGAGAGAGGGGCTGCCTGTGCCTGCCGCCGAGTGGTGTCGGGCGAGTAGTTATCGTTGCAGGGTGGCTTCTCGGGCTTTCCCTCCCTCGTGCAGCGCTTTTTTTTTTTTTTGATGATAGATTGGATTCTGCCTGCGACGACGTGCCACGCACGGTGTCCTTTACTTCTGCTGCTGGTGCTTTGATGGGTGGATGGTGGCGGCTATACCGCCGGCGTCACGAATTTTAAAAACTGAACCGTGAGGCGATCTGTCGATCAAGGACAGCAGCGATTGGCGCACTTATTACCGAAGGTCGGGAAGATCAGATCCGGGACTATTATAAATTTTTGATTTGATGATAGTGACATTGGGCGATCCATGTGCACAAAATCACCCATGTGGAAATCCGCAAAAAAAAAAATCACCCATGTAGGGGTAGAATAGAGATACGTACTCCACGGTGAACAGTGGCCGGTGGATGCAGCTGGTTATGCACTTGTCTTCGAGGCATCATTTTCTTTTCTTTTTAGCGAAAGAGGCGTCATTTTTCTTCCATGCTATGGTCTTTTTTCCAAATGAGCGTTGACACGGTTGCAATTTGCAGATCGTTTTTCCTGGAGAAGTCCATCTTTTCGACCATTCTCGCCATGCTGAGCCATCAAAGACGACCACGACAGAGAGTGAGCCGCATTATCAGCAGATCGTCAGTTGTTAGCTTGATTCCCAGTTTACCATGTGGCCAACCGTCAATGCAGCGGCTTGAGAAAGAAACCTTTAGAGTTGATTTTTTGTCTGTTTGTTTCGAGGAATGTAGTAAGTAGGTACTTGAAAGTGATCGCATCAGTACTGATAATTTAGTTTAACCATGTGTGCGTGTCCCTGTCGAAATGAGCTGTTGAACTTGATGGTCCCGCCGTGGTTAGCACATGGCGTAACAGTGTACAACTTGACGAGATGGAAGGTGCGGCCAGCCAGCTGCTCAAATTCTCTCTGCAGGGAAATTTCCCATGACAAAGAGTCGTAGCACCGAAGGAGTAGCCGGGACACGTTAGATTGTCCGAAGATTGCATCGTGACACCGCCAGTTAAACTGAAGCCAAACCACAGCGTCCCTTTGCAATGTCAGCGATTGAAAGAAAGTACAAAAACGATAATGCAATTGACAGAGACCACAGATAAAGTATGGGGTAATATATACTTCAGCAAGCAAAACAGAACAAAGCCCTAAGAATATATTTGTAGATTAACATGCTATATAATCATATCTCGAGTAACTCCAAAAACCAACCTACGTAGCAATGAACAAGCAACCAAAGCACAAGGGAGCAGCTTTAGCACTGCAGCACGTCTTGCCTGCCTCACGAAACAACATCGTTATGTGACAATAGAGTCAGCAGAAGGTGGCTTCACATACATGTTGACTATTTGTAGTACTAACATAACAACACGTGCTCATTCCATTCGCGATGAAGCTTCATATTTTTGTTTTTGCTGTTCAATATATTTACTGGCCAGTCGATGAGTTACAATCAAAGGCTAATAATCTGGAATGGACGCAAAGGTATACCCTGGCGCTCCTCTCCATGAATAGTATGCAACTCGGGTCTCATAAAATCCTGCATAAGCAATGTAAATATGTACACGTAAGAATTATATACTCGTTTGGAAAGAGGAACAGTTTATAGATGAGATGCTTAAGAGCGAGATAATTTGTTTCCAGCGTAACAGTAGAGATGCAGAAGAATGGGAAAAGTTCTGTTTTCAGCATAATAATTGAGATGCGAAAACAGGCCTGTTTCGTCTAAAATGGAAGAGCCTATACCAGTTACAGTTATATATCAACAGTAAAACTTGTCTTACATACTCCAGTAATGCAAGTGGACACATTATTTTTATGGTAATGTTACCTGGCGAATGGTCGCCAGGAACACCCCCAGCGAACGCCCCACACGCCACTCGATCAAGATCTGACGGTGGCAGTTTTTGGATGAAAACTGCACTAAAATTAAACAAATGCCATCCCCAAAGACACTAAAACTGCCACCCCGGCAGTTCGCAAATGCCACCCCTAGCTGGCGAACGGTCGCCAGCTAAAGGGGTCCTATTTTTATGGAAAGTATATACATATGTAATGAGAAGAGAAAAAACTGCACCATGCTTAATTGCTCCAGTGGTGCAAGTGGCCATTGTTTACGTAGGAAGTTTTTACAGGAAGCATATGAAAGTGGCCATTGTTTTTATAGGAATATTTATCGAATAATTTGAATAAGACAATATTCACCCTGGAAGATGAAACATTGGCATATCAATCACAATATGGAAACTGAAGTGATATAGTTGTATAATTGACATACCAGGAAGAAAGGCAAGGATACCCAGGAACAATAGACCATACACCTGAGTGCTATCACCCTCCATGTGACCTGTGAATATAAAATACGAAAGGAACAGAAGAGAGCTTCCCAGGAAGAGGAGGAATAATGCTAGGGCAATCGACTTCCACGGGATCCTCCTCAAGGATTTTGGGGTGTATGTGAACCGACGGTCAATATTGTCCTCATCCCTGTCCTCCGTAGGAAGAACAGAATAAGGAATGTTGCGTCTGGCCGCCATACTGCAGTATCAGCATTGGAAACACATACAGTGAGTACAAGTACAAAAAATGACCAAAGTTATACAAGATAAGACAGAACAGCTGAGAAATGACTAATATGAAACCACGAAATATGAAATCATCACCAAAGGATGAAGAAAACAGAGAAATGCCATTCTCAGAAAGAAACTGAGAAGTAGCTATTTTCGCCAATATAGGCTGCATGAATCACTTAGGGGCTGTTTGATTGCTACCCTGAGCAACGTGCCTGAGAGTAACCTGAGCGTGCTTAATAAATTGGCCAGGCAGGCACACAAAGAATCCTAGGCCGTGTTTGGTTGATGTCCTGAAGATATGCCTGTGTGGATAGAAGCTCCACGCAGTGTTTGGTTCATTTTTTTCCCTGGGTTACACTCACCACTTGTTGGTCATGTATTACAGGAGTGAATTAATAATCAGATAAGACAAAACATAACCAGATCCAATTATCATTACATTTCAGGTCTCAGTTTACATCATACCTTGAAGATATTGCACAGATCAGTACTTAAATTGTTAACCGCTAACATGTCCAAAAGTCACATTTCCTACCAGATCAGTACTTTAGATTGTTTGAACACAATAGTGCATCAATCACATAACCAGAAGTCCACCAAAAGGAAACTCCGTCAACCATGTACTTATCTTTTGTAATCAACAATCACTTAAAGATTAGCAGGATCATCAGTACGACCATGAGTAGGATCATCAGTATGGTCATCAATAGGATCATCCGTACGGCCATCAGCAGGATCATCACCGGATAAATGATTCAACACCCAACATGAGATGTAATCCTCACCCATGCTTATAAGGAAGCTACAATGAACTTGAAACTCTGGCTTGCAAAGGTGCATCCCTACTGCCATCCTATCTTCAGGTGTTAATGCAATATTCTCGAGCATGTTCCAAAGAGGAGCATTTGGATCTGGTGGAGCCACAGTTTGTATTGGTTGTGTAAGGCTTTCCTTTCCAGAAAATGACATGGTTCATAAAATTGAAGTCCTCCAGATAGGAGGCTATCTAAAATATGCTATGGTAATGCTTGATAATGGACATTAGGCATTTCATGTGCAAACACCCTCAGGTAAGAACTCAAATTTCATTAAATGACCAAGAAACCGTTTAACAAGATTTTTCTTCATTATATGATCAAGAAAGGATTTATAGAGATTTTTCTTCAGTATATGACCAAGAAAGAACTCCGCCTATGTTGTCTCAACATAGCCGGTCCCAAGCCCGGGTAAAGGAGGAGGGTTGTGATAGGCTTGGCGAGCCAACGTAAAAACTCAGCCACTCTTATGGAGATGAAACCCAAAAGATTTTCGTTGGGGCGTAACCCTCTTAGCGACGCGCTACATCGGAACCCGGGTGTGGTGGAAAATGGGCAAGGGCCGGGCCATCACCCCCAAGGTGGCGCGTCGTATCTTGATCCGGATACGGTGGCAAGTGAGCGAGGATCGGGTCGTCGCATCCTTAGTGGTGCGCTACATCGGCGCCCGAATGTAGTGGAAAATGAGCAAGGGTCTTCGCATTTGACTCGACGAGTGCGAAGGGTAAGGAAGCTAGCCGAGCCTAGGAGGATTCGCTTAGGTAGCTGGAAACATAGGGTCTCTGACAGGGAAGCTTTGGGAACTAGTTGATGCAGCGGTGAGGAGAGGTATTGATATCCTTTGCGTCCAAGAAACCAAATGGAGAGGACAGAAGGCGAAGGAGGTGGAGGATACCGGCTTCAAGCTGTGGTACACGGGGACGGCTGCAAACAGAAATGGCGTAGGCATCTTGATCAACAAGAGCCTCAAGTATGGAGTGGTAGACGTCAAGAGACGTGGGGACCGGATTATCCTGGTCAAGCTGGTAGTTGAGGACTTGGTTCTCAATGTTATCAGCGCGTATGCCCCGCAAGTAGGCCACAATGAGAACACCAAGAGGGAGTTCTGGGATGGCCTGGAAGACATGGTTAGGAGTGTACCGATTGGTGAGAAGCTCTTCATAGGAGGAGACCTCAATGGCCACGTGGGTACATCTAACACAGGTTTTGAAGGGGCGCATGTGGGCTTTGGCTATGGCATCAGGAATCAAGGAGAAGATGTCTTAAGCTTTGCTCTAGCCTACAACATGATTGTAGCTAACACCCTCTTTAGAAAGAGAGAATCACATCTGGTGACTTTTAGTAGTGGCCAACACTCTAGCCAGATTGATTTCATCCTCTCGAGAAGAGAAGATAGACTGTAAGGTGATACCTGGAAAGAGTGTTGTACCCCAGCATAAGCTGGTGGTTACTGACTTCCGCTTTCGGATTCGTGTCCAGCGGGATAAGCGTGCCAAAGTCGCTAGAACGAAGTGGTGGAAGCTCAAGGGGGAGGTAGCTCAGGCGTTCAAGGAGAGGGTCATTAAGGAGGGCCCTTGGGAGGAAGGAGGGGATGCGGACAATGTGTGGATGAAGATGGCGACTTGCATTCGTAAGGTGGCCTCGGAGGAGTTTGGAGTGTCCAGGGGAAGGAGAAGATAAGGATACCTGATGGTGGAATGATGATGTCCAGAAGGCGATTAAAGAGAAGAAAGATTGCTTCAGACGCCTATAGCTGGATAGGAGTGCAGACAACATAGAGAAGTACAAGATGGCGAAGAAGGCCGCAAAGCGAGCTATTGGTGAAGCAAGGGGTCAGGCATCTGAGGACCTCTACCAACGCTTAGGCACGAAGGAAGGCGAAAGGGACATCTATAAGATGGCCAAGATCCGAGAGAGGAAGACGAGGGATATTGGCCAAGTCAAATGCATCAAGGACGAAGCAGGCCAACTCTTGGTGAAGGACGAGGAGATTAAGCTGTTCAATGGGGAGAATGAGAGTTCTACCATTGAACTGGACGACTCCTTTGATAAGACCAGCATGCGTTTTGTGCGGCGAATCCAGGAGTCTAAGGTCAAGGAGGCTTTAAAAAGGATGAAAGGAGGCAAGGCGATGGGCCCTGATTGTATCCCCATTGAGGTGTGGAAAGGTCTTGGGCACATAGCGATAGTATGGCTAACCAAGCTTTTCAACCTCCTTTTTCAGGCAAACAAGATGCCAGAAGAATGGAGACGGAGTATATTAGTACCAATCTTCAAGAACAAGGGGGATGTTCAGAGTTGTACTAATTACCGTGGAATTAAGCTGATGAGCCATACAATGAAGCTATGGGAGAGAGTCATTGAGCACCGCTTAAGAAGAATGACAAGCGTGACCAAAAATCAATTTGGTTTCATGCCTGGGACTGGGAGGTCGACCATGGAAGCCATTTTCTTGGTATGACAACTTATGGAGAGATATAGGGAGCAAAAGGACTTGCATATGGTGTTCATTGACTTGGAGAAGGCCTATGATAAGATACCACGGAATGTCATGTGGTGGGCCTTGGAGAAACACAAAGTCCCAGCAAAGTACATTACCCTCATCAAGGACATGTACGATAATGTTGTGACAAGTGTTCGAACAAGTGATGTCGACACTGATGACTTCCCGATTAAGATAGGACTGCATCAGGGGTCAGCTTTGAGCCCTTATCTTTTTGCATCAGTGATGGATGAGGTCGGAAGGGATATACAAGGAGATATCCCATGGTGTATGCTCTTTGCGGATGATGTGGTGCTAGTTGACGATAGTCAGACGGGGGTAAATATGAAGTTAGAGTTATGGAGACAAACCTTGGAATCGAAAGGGTTTAGGCTTAGTAGAACTAAAACCGAGTACATGATGTGCGGTTCCAGTACTACTAGGTGTGAGGAGGAGGAGGTTAGCCTTGATGGCCGGGTGGTACCTCAGAAGGACACCTTTCGGTATTTGGGGTCAATGCTGCAGGAGGATGGGGGTATTGATGAAGATGTGAACCATCAAATCAAAGCCGGATGGATGAAGTGGCGCCAAGCTTCTGACATTCTCTGTGACAAGAGAGTGCCACAAAAGCTAAACGGCAAGTTCTACAGGACGGCGGTTCGACCCGCAATGTTGTATGGCGCTGAGTGTTGGCCGACTAAAAGGCGACATGTTCAACAGTTAGGTGTGGCGGAGATGCGTATGTTGAGATGGATGTGTGGCCACACGAGGAAGGATCGAGTCCGGAATGATGATATACGAGATAAAGTTGGGGTAGCACCAATTGAAGAGAAGCTTGTCCAACATCGTCTGAGATGGTTTGGGCATATTCAACACAGGCCTCCAGAAGCTCCAGTGCATAGCGGACAGCTAAAGCGTGCGGAGAATGTCAAGAGAGGGCGGGGTAGACCGAATTTGACATGGGAGGAGTCCGTTAAGAGAGACCTGAAGGATTGGAGTATCACCAAAGAGCTAGCTATGGGCAGGGGTGCGTGGAAGCTTGCTATCCATGTGCCAGAGCCATGAGTTGGTTGCGAGATCTTATGGGTTTCACCTCTAGCCTACCCCAACTTGTTTGGGACTAAAGGCTTTGTTGTTGTTGTTGTTGTATATGACCAAGAAAGGATTTATAAAGATTTTTCAGTGAAGCTCATCAGGAGTTCCTTTCTGCATGTAAGAACCAACTGAATGAACATGTAGAAGTAGAACAAATAGAAACAATGGCATAATACTTGTATTATAAACCATAAGGGCCTCTTCGGATGTTCTCTAGCTCCGTGCTCAGCCTACTCGGTGGAGCCCGACCAAACGTTTTCCCGGATCCAGGGAATTGTTTCAACAGTGCCACAGAGTAAAAATGCGGAGCAACATTTACCTGGATCCAGGGAATCGTTTTCAGTGGAGTTGAAAAGATTACGAAGTGCTGACACCGCCAAGTAACAGCGTACCGGTTCGGTGCCTGTTCTCTGCTTTCTTTCTCAAAGCGGCACAAAAAATGCCCGTACAACTCTTGTCGGTTTCCTCGTCGGTGCCCTTCGTCTTTTGGGAAACGAAGAGGAACAGCTGCCGACGTGAGAGGATGGGCGGATGATCGAACCCGCCGCCTAAGCTCCGAGCTCGCCGCCACA